TTCAAATTGTCCCTCATGAACCTTAGGCTTTCTTCAGATTTTTTTCTGATTGTTTTTCTAGTTTACTAGTATTGAGAAATTTATCTTTAAGCTCACTAATCCAGGCTTCCATTAATTCACATATACTCCTTTGCCCTTTCAGTGTTTGTACATTTCTGATATCTTAGTATTAATCTTCTGGATTTCTGTTTGCAAGTTTTGTGTTGTCTTTGATCCTTTATTTTTTTTTTTTTTGTTTGTTTTGGCCAGACTTTTTGTTTAGTATTCTGTAGTTGTTTAACACACACTTCATGGTCTTAATGGGGAGAGGCTCTTGTAGAATCCCAAGGAAATGTCAGAAAGGCAATATATGATGAGCATTATCCTTTTATTTTGGGTTTACTAGGTGACTAGCACTTTCCTTACTTAAGCATCTATCTCAAGTTTTGCATACTGAGAACATTGAGACTTCAGTTTGAATACAGCCTGAAATCTTACAAGTAGCAAACCCAACCACCCTTCTAATATCTAGCTTGTTTATTTAGACAGAATGAGTCATCATCTCTCCATTTTAGATGGCTAGATGTTTGTGGAAGATCTTACTATTGCTTGCCTCATTTACTGGGAAAAGTCAAATAGGAAGTGGCCTTCAGGGACGCTTAAGAGAATTACAACACTAGTACACAAGTCAAGGCTTACACATCTAACATTTGCTTATTGAAAGCAATGTTGTAAAATCTAATTAAACAGATTTTACTTTTTCTTCACAAGAAACATAAAAATTATGAAGGAGTAAGGAGCTCTGGTAGCATAGTGGTTACAAGTTGGGCTGCTAACCTCCTTGTCAGCAGTTCAAAACTACCAGCAGTTCCATGGGTGAAAGATGAGGCTTTCTGCTCCCGTAAAGATTTACAGCCTCGGAAACCCTGTACAGGGTCGCTATGAGTCAGAACCGCTCCATGGCACACCACGGCCACCACCACCACTTAATAGGACTTTTTTTTTTTTTTTTTTTTAAGTAACACAATTTTTCCTTTTAAGAGTCCTTGGGTAGTTGTGACAGAATAGGTTCCACTTTTTATTTGTTTCTTTGAACAGGGATTTTGGTCCAAAATTTTGTTTGTTTTTAATGTCTGCTTCTGCCTCCCCCTCTTATCAGATTGGCTTCCTCCACGGCCACCACCCACCTCTTGGTGCTCCGTGGCTTGAACTGCTGTAGGAATCACGTGGAGGAGGGTACCCCCTTTGCATAGAAGGGGGAAGCCCTCTTTCTTGTCTGCTAACCTGATCACAACCACTTGAGTTGAGATCACTTTGGCTACTTGAGTAACTGTCACGACTCCCACCATATCCGTCTCGTGAGCTACTATAATTGTCGTAGCGACTGTTTCCACCGTAAGATGGTGGTGGCCCTCATGTAGGTGGAGCACTACGTGAGTTACCATAGCTCTCATAGGAATCTCTGTTGGAGCCTCCACTTGGATGGTTTGAATATTCATGATCACGACCATAGCCATCTCTATCACTGTAGCCTCTGGATGGATAGTCATCACGTGACCTGGAATGACCATAATTATGATATGTATAATCTCTTGGTGGTGGTGTATAATCTCTTGTATCACGAGAATTTGGGTAATCTGTGTTTGAATAGCTGTCTTTAGTGGAATAGCCGTAATCTCTTGGTGACAGGTACACATCTCTTGGAGAGGGCAGGGGTTCCCTTCATGGTGGTCCTCTGTAACTATCTCTTCCACGTGATACAGGGGCTCTACCTCCCATTCCACTGCTACTGTGAACTGGTCCTGAAGGAGCTGATCTTTTAGGGGGAGGACCACCACTTTGTGGTGGTGGTCCTCTTTTTTCTGGAAGTGGTCCTCTGGAGGAACTAATGTTAAAATTCATGGAATAGCTGCCATCATCCGTGTGTCCCCCATGTGAAGGGAGTCCCCTGGTTCCTCCACTGCCTCCTATTCCAACCTCTAAAGCCACTGCTTCTTGGAGGTGGTGGGGGTCCACGCCTGCCACTTTCACATGTTGGGTTAGTGGCTTGTTCACCAAT